CATTGACATTTTGGAAGAATATATGGTGGTGGGTGGCCCATGCTTTGTAGAAGAAATCACCACCATCAGAACTGTGTATATATATATATATATGATGCAATCATCTTGTTCTTTGAGTGTTACATATATATGATGACTTATGTCCTCTTTGGTTTCACATCTTCAAGATCTCAGCCAAAACAAGCAAAGGTGGGGCCTAACTTGGATGAACAAGCTTAGCATTTCTGGCTTTGAATTTGAATTCAATGGGGCCATAAAATATACAGTGAAAAAGGAGCACATATTTGTTCTTCAAAAACCTAAGAAGAATAAGCCAACATTTGTTGAGGAAAGAGGGGAAAAAAAATAGTTTGACAGTGATATTTTGGGAAGCAGAGGAATTAAAGAAGCAAAGGTGGTGGACATGGAGGCCCCATGAGGCAGTGAAACCATGCATACTTTGGTTTATATTAAGATGGGAGACAGAGGGATAGGTGACGACTGAGGAAGGTAGGGTCGATCTTCTTAATGCAATTATTGAGAAGTGAATTATTAGTCGTAGTCAAGAGGGGCCATTCTTTTCTAGGTTAGGTTTCGATTCAAAACAAAGTAGGGTTTATGATTTTGTGAAGGTTCTTGCATCTTCTGTCCTAGATTTTCTCAAGTAGGGATGCAAAATCAACGGCACAAAAGAGAAGGAATTATTTCTGAAAGAGAAGTGATCAAGTATAAAGGAGAATATGCACCATTAATTAACGAAATAAGCACTAATAAATCAAGAAATAGGCACCCTTATAGTAGTTTTTATATAAGCGATAAGGGAATTCGAAGTCGGATGTAGAGTGGGGAGCAGATCCGCTCTAGCCAACTTGACTAAGCGTATATCTCTTTCTTAAAAGTGAATTTAATTTTAATTAACTGGTGCATAAACACCATGAGCTCGGTCGTTATCTTTTGACAGAAAATTCAAAGCTACAGCACTATACATGGGCCATATGTGAGAGGACACCGCAGATGAGCAAATTATGTGGTCAATGCAAATTAAATTGGAGGTGTATGGATGACCCCATTTGTCACCAACCACCTGACCTACTTGTTTTTGTTTCGGATGTCGGGGAAAGAAAGAAGCAAAGGTTTGAGGTTTCATGAAGTGGGTCTAGTTTACTTGTTTGGGTTGCCAGTTTTTCCATAAGCCCATAATTACTGATTGGTAAAGTTGTATGAAGACTTCAAAACTTGCTCTGGACACCCATTATTCATTTTATTTGTTCATGGCTTGGCTACAGCACTGATCATGTACAAGATGATTGAAATTCACAAGCCTTTAGGCAATTTTTTAAAAACAAAATAAAGAAAGAAAAGAAGTAAGGAAATTAGGAGCAATGAGCCCACCATCTCTCCCAAAACTACTTGCATGTGCCTCTTTTACGGGTAATTCTCACTAGTTATACATAATTATGTATGAGGTTTTTTTTATTTAAATTCCATATTTTTCTTTGTTCACCCCAATATTTAAATTATTAAGTTCTTAAGTTTTATTATTGTGTAAAAAGACAAAAAAGGTCATACAACTTAATACTTAACCCTAGTGCATCTATACACACACCCCACCATTCTTCATATTAAGTTTAGAAACACAAACTCCTCTACACCCTATTTCCAGATTATGCTTTTCTTTCAATCCAAGAAACCTACTACACTCTCATCTTCTCTTCACAAACCCTAAATATTGTAAATCATAATCAAACAAACAAATCAGAAATAATAATAATAAGGGTTAATCGTTTTATTAGTCCCTGAACTTAGACCCGATTTGCATTTGAGTCCCTCAATTTCCAAAATCGTTCTCGTGGTCCTTCAACTTCAGTTTCGTTAGGACAAATGGTCATGCTGTCAATTTTGTTAACTTTTTTGTTAAATACAGGGGCAAAATGGTATTTTTGTATCAAAGAAACATAATTGGAGGGGAAAACAAAACTAGACCTTGACTATGAATTAAAGAAACAATGCCTGCCTAAGCCTTTGATTGATATATAATTTGGAAATTGCCACATGGTTTTGCTTTGTTGAACAAGAGAATAAAATAAAAATAAAATTAAAAAAATACTGCTACACATTTGACAAAAGTTTTTTCTTTTTTTATCTCTCTTAAATAATGTGAGGTTGATGTGAACTTAGAGTAGTGAAGGGCAAGATAGTGGAGTGTGGGGCGTGAGGTTGATGAGTTTCTTTTTTTTCTTTTTTTTTCCCTGGTGGGTGTGTATTTATGGATAGTTTGGGAAGAATAGTGGGGTTTTTTAAAAAATTGTGAAAAATTGAATAAAAAATTTGAGTGAAAAAAGAGAAGTGCGGGGTTTAAATAAAAAAATCCATATATCTATCTATCTATCTCTTTTATTACATGATAATACTTATTGCAAGTGTCTCCCCTATTTATATTCTTAGGTATCACCGGTTGCATACAATTGATTGTATGGAAGAAAAATTATTTTTCTATCCTGTCCCTCCAACCTCGCAAGCCACACCTTAATCTTCCCTTGCACCTAGCACATGTTAACTTATATATCCTTCTTGTCAAATAGATAGAGTAGGGCAAAAAATTTCGATATGAGACTTTATATTTTTCAATATTTTTCTCTATTTCTATCGTTACATGATTAGTCATATGATGATTAGTCAACATGTGTTATATGGGAGTGTATAGGAAAGAGATTTATTTGATTAAATACTGGAAAAGGTCAATACATAAAAACTAAACTCTTTAGAAAAATACATAAAATCAATTTAAAAACAAAAGATAAGATTAATAAATTTTAAAAAAGGGAAAAGAAAAGAGAACACTCATTAGCCATTGGAGGGAGGAAAGAAACGTGAGGGGAAGATTGGGGAGGTTGAATTCAGGAGGGGGAGACGATATGTGGGGTGGAGAAGGATGGTGCGTAGATAGTGCCCATTCATTCTTTTTGTTTCTTGTTTTTTCGGTTCATGACTTCTCCCATTCTAAGTAAGTAACATAAAAGAATATATACTTTAATAAAAGAATCCCAAAACTTCAAGTAAAAAAAAAAGGGTAAGTAATTCTTGAGTGAGATTAGGTAAGTAATTTTCTTATAATTTTAGACTGCCCATATTAATTATAGCCTAAACTTTAGAAATTAACTACCGAAAAACAGACCTTAATTATATGCTTCATAGTCAAGTCACTGGTACTTACCATTATATATACCACTTACCATCTTCATAACGAGATCTCCTTCATAACAAAACATAACAAAACCTAGAGCTACCTACCATATTATCTCCAAGATTGCTTCACAATATTTTAGGGTTTGCCATTGATTTCCTTCCCTCTAGAGTTCGCCATTGATTTCCTTCCCTCCTCTAGGGTTCGCCATTAGTTTCCTTCCCTCTACGGTTTGTCATTAGTTTCCTTCCCTCTAGGGCTTGCCATTAATATCACGAGAACTAGTGCTACCATGGCTAAGAGGGGTGCTGATGAGAGTGAGATCACAAACGATGACAATATCAATGGGAAAAGGCAGAGAACTGATCCTACCATGGCTAAGATGGGTGCTGATGAGAGTGAGATCACAAACGATGACAATATCAATGGGAAAAGGCAGATAACTGATCCTACCATGGCTAAGATGGGTGCTGCTGAGAGTGAGATCACAAACGATGACAATATCAATGGGAAAAGGCAGAGAACTGATCCTACCGTGGCTAAGATGGGTGGTGATGAGAGTGAGATCACAAACGATGACAATATCAACGGGAAAAGGCAGATAACTGATCCTACCATGGCTAAGATGGGTGCTGCTGAGAGTGAGAACACAAACGATGACAATATCAACGGGAAAAGGCAGATAACTGATCCTACCATGGCTAAGATGGGTGCCCCTGAGAGTGAGGTCACAAACGATGACAATATCAATGGGAAAAGGCCGCGAACTGATCCTACCATGGCTAAGAGGGGTGCTGCTGAGATTGAGATCACAAACGACAACAATATCAATGGGAAAAGGCCAAGTAAACGTCAAAGAAGGGTTGAAATCAAGAAAGTTGAAGAAAAGAACAAGCGTCACGTGACCTTCTCCAAGCGCAAAAGGGGTCTCTTCAACAAAGCCGCCGAGCTCAGCGTTTTGAGCGGTGCCGAGACAGCGGGGATCGTCGTGTCTAGCAACGGCAAGGTGTTCTGCTTCGGTAGCCCCTCCGCTGACACCGTCATCCACCGTTACCTCGGCCACAATGCCTCCTCATTATTACATGCAGGTCAGCCAGATATTCATCATGTAAACGGCGAAGTTCGCTATTGTCCTTACAATATTTCTTCGCATGTGAATATAATGCGCAATGGTAATAAACAAGTAGAGGATTATATGGAAGCTAGGAGGCACATGGAGGTAGAGAAGATCAAGCGTGTGAAGAATAATAATTCTGACAATATTGATGATATTGATAACAATATTGATGGAGAAAGAGGAGGATGGTGTTATAGGTGGTGGGAGAAGCCGATTGAGATGACGACTAGTTTGGAGGAGTTGGAGGAATACATGGCAGCCTTGCGCCAGTTGAAACACAATGTTGAGGTTCGAACCAATCAAATGGTTATGAATGTTGGGTACAATTGTTAATGTAAATTATGTTTTATAAATTCACTACATATGTAAATATATATATACAACTCTTTATTCAGATTTTCTCCAGATGCAAGCAATTTGGACTGATAATTATGTTTTTCTTTTCCTTCTTTGATCTACTCATGTCAACAACTTTGTCCACTTCATATGTTTGCCCTTTAGGCATTGTTTGGACATAGACTGGATTGGAGTTGAGTTTAAATCCGTCCTAATGAGCCTCACTCATGTAGAACTATTGTCCAATTTAATAAGTATTAGTTCATCAAATAGTCGACATGTCCTTAGATCGTCGAGGTTGAGATCTTATGAATTAGTCTTGCCACAAAAAGCAACTACAATTCCTTCCTCACAAATCTCATATTGCAATAGTTTCAACAAATCTCATGATGTACAGTCAAGATTTTTATCACATAATATGGCATAGAAAACCCCCAAAATACAACTAAAGATCAAATTATTGAACACATGAGAAAAAAGAAAAATATAAATTAATGCTTGCTAACCTGCATGTAATGTGTAAGCAGCCGTCAGTCTTTTCCACGAAGAAGTTGCATCTGGGACACCTCCTCCAATTCTTCTTCTTTGCAAGCTCCATCACCATGATATCTTCCTTCTCTCTCTCATTCTCATTCAAGTTCTGAAACTCCCCACAGTCAATCCCAGCATGCCATGCAACCTTGCACTGAGCACAGAACAGTCTCCGACAATTCGGGCACTCGGAGACAGTCACAACCTCTCCTCCATCATCCACCAGCAAAGCAGAACAGTCCTTAAAAGGGCAGTAAAATTTCTGAGACCCCAAAACCAGAGACTCACAGAGAGCATTTTCCCACCTATCAAACACTTCCTTGGGAATAATAGATCGGCATGATTGTGGCTCCAGCACTTCTTTGCACTTCACATCAGGACACTTCACCATTGAAATGTTTTCCTGAATTTTAGTCCCAACATATGTTCCAATGCAATCAGTGCAAAATGAGTGGTTGCAGCCAGTGTTTGTGAACATTTCTTGGGTTGATTTTACATCCATGCAGATCAAGCAGAAAGTTTCAGAGGATTGGCCAGTTTCTTTTTCCTTCCCCTTCTGATTTTTCATGGGGGTTTCAACATCTTCCTCTCTATTGGGGGGTTGAGTAGAAATTTTGGGAGTTATTGAAGAGATTGCAGAGGACATGAGGGCTTCTTGCAGCTGCAATTCTTGTGCATATTTCTCATCTGAGATGGGAAATACTTCTTCCTCATCATGAAGAGCTGAAAAGTAGAACTCATCCACCAAATCAAGAGCTTCACCAGAGCTTGATGTTCCCTCCATTTTTGTTTTCAATAAGACTTTTGAGAGCAGGGGACTCTGTCAATTAGAGTTTACCCTTCTGGCTTCTATCTCAATTTATTTATTTGGATGCATGGTATTAGAAATTAATGTGTGTTGGCTGTTGATAAGCTTTCCTCAATTTCCCAAACGATGGGCGCTTTACTTCCAAGAGGTTAATTTTACCTTACCGTTATGTTTTCGGATTCTGTGCTTCTCCGTCTTCAATCTTTGTTTTTCTTTTTCTTTTCCAAAATAAATTTATCATGAAAAGCCTTTATTAATTTTAATCTCTCCCATTCCCATTGATTCACCCCCCTTCTTCCTCATTCTCACTTTAACCACCAGACCTTTCTTTTCCTTAAAAATAAAATAAAAATTGAAAGTTGTATTTTTTGTGTGCCATTTATATTGACATTGATATAAAGTTGCTACAATTTGTATTGTGTGATGACAATAGGGTTGTGTTCCATCCCGAGAAGTTCAAAAATAAAAATGGCCACGAAAAACAGAGGCAGGAGCAGAACAGGAAAACCCCTAATCCAGGGCCTTTTGAGATAGAGACAGGGATAGGAAATGGTGGCAGGGAACAAAGTTATGAGGGCAAATGCGCCTTGCCTTGATCCGCCCATCGCAACACAAACTGGTTCACAAATCTAAGCAAAGCGATCTCATGGTACACTACTGAATTTTTTCCCTTGGGGAGAAGGAGGGAGAATTGATAAACAAGGACACACAGAGAGAGAGAGAGAGAGAGAGAGTGTTGATAAGTCAGTATAATCATAATCTTTCATTAAACGCTACATAAGTCATATATGTTCACATAGATAGCGGAATTATATTACAACGACCCTTCTGAATCATGGGATTTCTTTACTATTAACCACAATCCCCTCCTCCCCCAAAGGGAAAAAAAAAAACAACAAAAAACAGAAATTAAAGCCAAAAATAGGACAGAAATTTCCCACCCAAAATGAAATGCCTACACTAACTAGTATGCTCTACTACACTTTTTTCTAACTTTGTCCTCCCCCCATCTTTTGTCTCCTATTTTACCATCAATGCAATTGATCAGCCGAACAATTTAACAATTTCTCGCACCAGATTGGGAAGGAAGCAACCTCAAAATCAGAGAGCCAGAAGGAAAAGAATATAACTATGATGTTATAAGAGCAAAACTGAATTACAGTGGCCGTGATACCGTTGAGCCTTGGGAAAAACCATTTGCAATTTTCTGTGGTTTCTTCTTGAAATTGCTGATGCTGCAATGCGGACATATGTATTCCAGTCCATCTGTTTTTGCATAATCCTGCAAAGTCAAAACAAAAGATTAACATATAAAAGCCAAAGGATTAGCTAGACAACCACAAGGTGCTCACGGAGATTTAGATTGTGATATGATTACCTTAAAAGCACCAAGACCCTGCCTTCTGTCGCAGCCAAAGTGGGCCCACTCACCACATATTCCACAGTTCACCCAATCTCCTGCTGCGCTACTGCAGAACAGTTTCCAATCACGTGTAAGCAGACATTAGCAAAGTTAATATTTTTCAACACTGGAGAAGTAAAAAAATAGGATGGGATAAATGCTAACCTGTGACACAATAAGCAGCACTCTCCATCTACATCATCATGAGCCAATTCGTATTCTAGGAGGTAAGTTTCGTAATGTCTTTTAAGTGTATTTCCAACACCCTGTGAAAACAAGAACCATACTCACCTGTATCAATTGATGTGTTACAATCTACAGAACCCTTTTACATAAAGGAGTGACTTGGTCTATTCATCCTGTAGTGATTACCTACTTTTTGGGTATTTGAGCTAAGATAATTGGAAAGAATCCCCAAACATTCTAGAAGCACTACTCTGCCACAGAATTAACTGTTTCACAATTCTGGTCCCACCTATTCATTTTTATTTATTTATAGGATATGCTTTTTCCTTCCCAGGTAAGCCCAGAGTCAGCACAACTCTGCCACAGAATTTACTGTTTCACAATTCTGGTGCCACCTATTTTTTTTTTTTTTTTTATAGGATATGCTTTTTCCTTCCCAGGTAGGCCCAGAGTCACCTTACTACCTCTTCGTTAATCTTGAAACATTAATTATTTCAAAGTTAAAAACAAAGAGATTATAGACATACAGTCATTCTATTGGTCATTGTGTAATTGCGCATCTTTGAGAAGATCTGTCCTTTCCAGTTGATGCCGTTGCCAACATGAAAGCCTCCTCTTGTAACCACCTGACAAACACCTCATCCTTCAATAACAAATTTCACTAAATTCTATATATTTTCTTCAGTCACAACTTCAGTAAGTGAAACCTAATTCCTGGCCAAGGAATTTGATTAGTTCACCTCTTTATACAAGTTGTAAAGGTCAAGCCGCTTTCCATTGAGAATGGCATCTGGAAACTCGGCGAGTCCACCTTGAGGAATGAGTCGACTATGTCCTCGGAGAATTAGAAACTGCATTACATCCTTCAAAAACTCCTCCTGCTCAAGGGATAAATAAAAAGTTAACATAAGCAAGTGATTGCAACAAAAAAAAAACAGGAGGAAAGTAAAACCCCAATGGTTAGGTATTATATTGGAAGAGATAGCATGCAAAAGAATTTCATACTGTAATAAGGGAACTCCCTTCATGTCCCCACTTTTTTTTATTCCACAACATCCCCTCCTATACCTTACCAATTCTTATTTTCCAAGCAAAATTACATCTTTTGAAATAATTTTGAAATAATTAAAAAAATAAAATTCCCACTACCATTTTAAAAGTAGCTATTCCCTATTTTGATTTTCTCATACACTACCCCACTTTCTTTCTTGACAGTTATTTTATTTTATGATCTACATCTATGCTAATTTTTATTACTTGATTACAGCCTACATGAGGAAAACAATCTCCAGCATGCGGAGAGCGCATGGAAGGGCTAATATGTTGATTACTTGTGGACATATATAGTTACTTAACTGTGTGTATAATATATAGAAACAGAGTTGGTTGTTCCTCTCAAACTTGTTCAACACCTACAAACTGATTTAACATTTTGAAAGAAAATAACTCACCTCTAAGCAAGAATGTATTGGGCTTCTTCCGCAACCGTGTTTCTTTAAAGGCAGAGGATTCAAGGAAATAATCTGCTTAGAATGTGAAGAGCTTGAGTACGATTTTCGTTGTGTCGTTGGAGTTAATCCAACAATATTGAGCTTTGTGGGGGGAGCAGGAGGTAGATTAGCCTTAAATTGGCCTCCATCGTGCCCATCTAACTCAGACATTCCAGAAAAGGGTGTCATTTTAGGACGACGAACATGAGGAATGGGCCTCATTGCAGCTATTTTCAATCTTTGCCTAGGTGGAAGTAAAGGTGTGCTGACCCCATTCATGGCTCCAGCTTCTTTGTTGTCTTCGTCTATTTTAGAAGCAGCTAGACTTGGAAGCCTCTGGCTATAATTAGAACCCCTGCTTGTCTCTTGGCATGGTTGAGATCTCTTCCTACTAGGAGGAGGTGGTCTCAACCAAGTAGGAGGGCTGCCAAGAATGAAGTCATTCGATTTATTATCTTTCCCCAGACTTGAACAGAAGAAAAGAAGGCGCTCAGCATCTTCTTTTTCAAAAGAAGCAACAGGTAATCCCTGAATGCTGGCAATGCCAAGTGCAACTAAACTATGATAGGAAACATCAGGTGCGAGCTGCCTCAAAACCTGAAATTGTAGTTGCAGCAAATACAGCAGTTACATAAAATATTGGAAAAATTGCCTCTTTTTTTATTCAACCTAAATAAAAACTGAACACTGACGATCTAAGCCAACAAGGTAAATTTGCTTTTGTAATAGAATGCTCCTTAGATCTTCCCAAGCACTGATGTGGTAGCCATAAAAGCAGAATCTCCATTTTCACAAGGTTCATGCCTTCTATACAAGTTAGCCCACCCCAATCTCTTGTAATACCCAACCAAAAGAGGGATGAATTTGATTACAACCGCAGATTGGGCAGGTGAGTGGTGACTAGTAGAGTCAAAATTAATAAAAGGGGGGGGCATAATTCACACAATTCTTTCAGATTCTTAAAATGTTACCAGATATCATGATAGCAAAGACCAAGACAGGGAAGGAAGTAGGTAAAAACCTGTGAAGCCCATGCTGGAACCTTCATGCATACTTCAAATACAGTAGCCCCACATGCAATTGAAGCAGACTTCCGTGGTTCAGATAGAGGTACTTTGTTTCCCTCATTGTTGGGCAGTGCACGTACTAGTTGAATCTCTTCAATAACCTCATTCTTTATATGATTCTCCAAAAGCTGAAAAGAAACAGGTCAGAAGGTGTAAAAGTTGAACAGCTCCGACTACCAGAATTTTTCCAGACAAGTCCTTCAGGATTACCTGATCATCAAAGCAAGTTTGTGCACTGCCTGACACAAGAAGTGAGATGTGCGCAGAACTACACGTTGATACATCACATCGCATAGTCACAACACCACGAGAAAATGTCCCGGCCTGAAGAGGCGGTGGAGGAGCACTGATCACATTGAAAAACATTAATTAATTAATTGTATTCACAACACTGCATAACTGCACAACAATTCATCTTTGGGGGAAAATAATAAAAAAGTAACAGGGAGTTTGAAAGTTCAATGTAGTATTGAAGATGTTTCAAATGCCAAAATGCTTTAATATTCAACACCTACTTCAGAAAAACATAAGAAAATGGTGACGCCTACACATGAAGGTTTCTCTTGTAAACAAAGTCAACAGTATCCTTTCTCCACATGAACAGTTATTTAAAACAAGAAGATGATGTAAACTACTATGCAATTAAAAAATTACAAATATCCAATCGAGCAACAATAAAAGAGCATCCATTATTTACAGGATCCAACATACCTAAACTTGCCATGAAGCTTGCTCCCACGCATCTGGAGCAACATAATTACAAAATGAGGAAAAATTAGCACTCCTTGCACCATGATGATGATATTAAGGGTAGTAGATAAAACTAACATAGTTATTTTTTGGATAGATACAAATGTAACCAAGTTAAGTAAGGCAGTACAAATACTCTTTTCTTCACTAACTTTAACACGTCAAACCATGCATTCTCCAGCAGGGCATGAAGAAATGCTTCCCCCAAATAGAGCTATAAGAAAATGAAAGGCAAATAGGCTAAGGAGAAATCACACTTACTTCAATGTTTAAGAGGGCATTGAGACCATCCTCCAAAGGTTCTAATAAACTTGCATCCTGAAAATACGTCAGCCCATCATAAGTCTATGAATGAGGAGATGGGTATGTTTTTTGCTGGCATTCGTGTGCATGTGTTCCTACATGAAGAATTAGTATTTAAACACTGGTAAAAACAGGACATTCGGGCTTACCAATGTGGAAGGCTCCCCACAAACAAGAAACCTCAAGATCACATCATCATCATGTATCTTTATAGCAGGGAGAGTACCCATGGAACCTTCTTCATCTTCCTCCACATCTGCCTCAGGGGGATCAACATTGATCTTCAAACGGTCACCAAGAAGGCATGGCCCCAGCTCAGCACTACTAGATTTGTGTCTGTTAGCAGGAACGGCATGGCTGTTTTCTACACAGTAAAGCCTAAAGGAAGCATATGCAAGTTGGAAAGCATCCCATGTATGAGTTGATGAACTGCAATCCAAAAAACTGCAATTGTCAAGCCTGTTTAGTGTTTGTGCAGAATATAGTAGCGTAAAGATGTGTCAATTAACGTCGGCCATGCATATTGCACAGACAATTCCTATAATCCAATCAATGGCATTATCTCTAGTGACGCTAACTAGACATTAAACAACAGTTGTGCACATACATACATGTGCTAACCACAACCTTTTCAAAATGGCATTTCTTTCTCTATAACCAATCCAACAAGCTATCTAGAGATCCTTTACCCACATGCTCAGAAAAATTAATAAAAGATAAGTACCTCTGTACCACTGAAAGCAATGCATGTCGAAAGTGGCAAGCAGCATAAGAAGAAAATTCATGTTTCCAATATATCACATAAGGAATTCCCTGCACATGAAACATACATAGTCAACCACAATTTTCAAAAAAAAAAAAAATAACAGGCTTGCTCAGACCAAAAAATAAATAACTAAAAAAGCAAAACAGACTTGCAGTTCTGAAACAAAAGTTCAACACCGTAACCAGCCATTTCTCACTGAGCCCTGGTAGTGAACTCCTGAAAGCATACTTAATAAGCCTTACTGTAATTACCTTAGAGTGAAGTGCCGCTGCCAAATTTTCACCATTTGGAACCTCCAAATAAACCTGCATATATACATATATTAAATGAAGTTGGGTCACATGAAAAAAAAACTTTCGAGATATTACAAAGAACAATAGAAAAGAACAGAAGAAAAAAAATCACATAAACCAAAATCGGGGAATGAACTGCATACAGATTTCCAGACCACAAGAAATCATGCAATGCAGACTCTCCTCACACCTCACAAGACATTTCCCAATTACCTACTTCTTGATTTTTCAATATCTTGTCAAATGAGTAACTCAGAGTTAAAGAATTGCATGCCGCCATAATTAGATAAATGAAAAATAAAGGAAGCAATTCACCAACTACATATCGCTAATAAATTTTTCATTCCAATGAAAGAAGGAACAAGGGCATAAATCATACATACACAAAAAAGGACTTTGCAAGTTCAGGAAATCTAATACATACAGTTGTAGGCAACGTGGCACCGAAGATCTCAGATATAGCTTCGGCAGTCGACAAATCAACATCTTCCCAGACAGGAGACCCAATTTCATTATTCTCAAGCTGTTCTCCTTGCAAGTATACAAGATTTGGCTTATATGACTCAAGCATTTTACAGAACTCCTCTTTGCTTGGCTTGTTCAGAGTTTGAACCTGCATTCCAAGAGTGACAAATATGGTAAATTTAAAAACTAAACTGAAACAAGGAATTCACTTAATCAGCTAAAAACAAGAAGATACAAGTAATTAAAGTATACGCAACACATTCCATATTTAAAATTCAGAAGAGAATGGTAATAGCAAATTCTAACCTCCAAACGACCTGAAGAGACTAACTCTGGAAACGGGTATTTGAGCTTCTCATCTAGGGTGTCCTTGTTAGGTTTATCTTCAGAAATTTTCCCACAAGTGACCACAAGCAGACTACAAGTGTGCTTTGAAGCTCCCTGAGAATGATTCATTATTTCCCTGCAGGCGCCCAGAGAGTTGGCAAAGAAAAGAAGCTCAGGCTGCTCACCCAAGAATTAAAACCCGAAAACCATCACATCTCCTAGATTATAACACTGAGGGCATGCATCAACTTCAACCCTGACTTTGATACCAACCACACCAACCTGATCAAATTTCCAACTTGATTCACCTTGTAGCTAGCATTCAAGGAGGGATAACCAAATCCACTAAGAGGGGTCAAATCCCAACTCACAAAGCACTCTCAGAACCAAAATTTCGCCAGAAAGCCAGCATGAACTCAAAGAACAGAAGGTACTAGCAACAAGATCCAGGACCCAAAACAAGCCAAACCCTATCTCACAGGAAGAACATATAATGGAAACTATGAGCAAACTCGACCAACTTTTGCTTACTGATGGAAGCAAATTGGAAAAAAGCCCTCGAATTTCAACCCAAATACTGTTGAAATTGAAAAAATAACCGAGACCCAAATGAGAAAACCTGGAGAAATCAACGAATCTGGCAAGGAACAAGGGAAAATTCACCACCTCAGACGACACAAACAGAAAAACTCACCGACCCAGATGAGGAATTTGAAGAACTTGAACAACCCAGAAGAGAAAATCAGGAAATACCGACGACCCAAGCGAGTCCTTAGCTTCTACAATCACAAAAAAGCACAAAATAGACGAGTAAAGTATGAAAAGAGAACCCTAGGCCCGTAAAATCCAAATCCCCAAAAAGAAATTCGCATAAAAAAAAACCAACTTCTAATAGGAATTAATTTATTTATCTGTTTCTGTCTATTGTATCTAATTCAGCACCAAAATAAATCAAAATGCTCACAGTCACCAAAATTTAATAAATTTAAAGTAATTAATATTCGCATTTGTTAAATAGGTGGGTGTGTCAGAAAAATGCATTCAACCTCAAAAAGGTCAAACATAACCAAAAAAACATTGATGAAACAAAAAGAGACTAATTAAAAAGACTTTTGACGAACTTGATAAAGTACCAAACTTTGATTGGAACCCAATTTGAGTTTACCGTGTAACAAACATTCAACCCAAAGCCAAAGCCTCCAAAAAAACATTGATGAAACAAAAAGAGACTAATTAAAAAGACTTTTGACGAACTTGATAAAGTACCAAACTTTGATTGGAACCCAATTTGAGTTTACCGTGTAACAAACATTCAACCCAAAGCCAAAGCCTCAAGGCCAAAAGTTCGTAACTTTCTTAGAAATTGAACCAAAACCAAAACAGAGGAGCAGTAAGTTTTTCAAGTCCCATTACGATTTGTTAATCTTTTTTTTGTATTATTATTACCCTCAAGATTCGGAACTTGTGGGAGGTAAAATAACAACAACAATGTTTTTGATGTGGTCATATGCTCCAAAAGATAATCAAAGAAAGCCCAGGATTTCTTTACTATATTTGTTTTCTTATGCATTTCATTTCATTTCATTTTCCTGTTGGGTTTTGGGTTAAGGTTGGCATTCATAATAATTCTTTTTGTTTTTCTTTTGATTGTTTCAAGTTGATTGGATGCACGAGGAGGCCCTGATCTTATTTGCTCGGAGCTTGATCAATGATCAAAGCTCATCCAATTCCCAGTCTCCATCAACATCTTGCTCCCACGTGCGCGCGCGTAAATGTACACGCTATGGTGCCTAAGCGCCAAACGAAGTGTGCTAAGTAATCATATCAAAAGTAACTCCCAACTCAACTTGAAACTTGAAATTTGAGCTCCTAATGACAAATTAGAAAAGGTTTTTGGAGTTAAAGTTTGAGTCTTTTAATTACCAACTCCATTTTGATGAAAAGAAAAGAAAAAAATTACCAACCCAATCACAAATGCAATTTCATAATCTAAACCATCGATTTTGTATGTTATGATTGTGATTAGATCAATAATCGAACATGATTTTTTTTTATGAACACTAAACTATTTGTGATGATAATCAAATAGCTAAACACAATTCTAGACTGATAGTTTTAAAAGTAGCATGTTACAAGATAACCTCAACAACAAAACAAAACAAAATAAAAAATAAAAAATTGACTTATCTTATATTTGTAGAACTCATGATTTGAGTTGGTATTTTTGATCTCTTTGATTGTACTGTTGAAGTTTATATTTGATTATTAAAAAAAAGTTCATGGATTGAACCTATTATATAACTCGATCATATTTGGAATCTAAATTAGAGTCTCTAGTTGGCCATCCAACCTACTAATTTCTTGAAGTTATTAAGTCTTACCCTCCATACACATGGTTGAGCTTGAACTTGAGTAAGCTACAATAAGAATTGCCAGATTTTCTATCTCTTCTATTTTGCTTCGACTAATGAATTTGAATTTTATGCTAATCTTGTGACAACAACTAATGTTTATGCACGTGCCCATGTAAATTTGTCTTCTCCCTCTCTTTTTTTTGGGTGAAAGTCTTCTCCCTCTTTTGATATTGAAGGAGAGTGGTGGTTTTGTTAGTTTTCCTTTAATTCAGGAAAATGAACAAGCTTCTTATCCGCCTAATGTCACATCAAGTTGTTAACAGTAGATCTTAATTTCAATTCCAATTGTCAGAATTTAAAAGGCTAAAACCAACAAAGTAAGGATACTTTCTTTTAAGGAACAGAAAAAGCAAGATAGTCAAAACTTTATAACCGAGAGTACGAGTTTAAGAACATCTCCAACGAACTCTTATAAATAAAACCATATGACATAATTGGAGATACTCGGAGTACCACAACCAATACTATTTGAACATGATGCGATTTTGTATATGATATGCTCTGCTTATATGATCCGAAGTTTAGTTGTCCTGTCTTTAATATATATATGAATATTAATATATAGCATGATATCTAGTAAAAGGCCAGAATCATTTTGTTTGCAAATCGGAAAAAGAAACGAGTCTATATACAAAATGAAGCCTTGGGAGTCAAATTCACCGGCCTAGTGATTTCAGCACCGACTGCTGGCAACCCTTTAATTGCCTAAAAAATCAATCTTTCTGACCTCAAATAATTTAAAAGTTATGCTACAGGCCACACTACTCACAACTACTTCTACAAGCACCTTTAATATATGCTAAATGCAGGGAAGCACGCCAAAGCAAACCATGAGACTTTATGGTCTTTGTAATCAAGCTCTCCAACATTTAAATCACACCTTTTCACTAATTTGGTGAAACTAATTAATCCAGCTCTTCAAGGATTTCCAAAACTGATGTGGGTTTACCAAAGTTTGGTTTGGTAAAAGTTAAAACAATGGTATGATCTATGATTTGAATAGCCTCAGCAAGACTTGAAATCTCTCATGAATCTCTTTGAAATCAGTTATAACTGTCAAGAAATCTAGGTTGAAATATATTGAAATCTGTTTGTAATCTTTGAAAGGAGTTTTGTGTCTCAGTTTCGTATTTATACGATCTTGACCCCAATGTTAGCTTGGCTTCTAAGTTGACATTTGCAATACTTTTCTATTAATGTCCATAGACACCCTTTGTCGTGACAGAAAATGAATGACAACACATGCTTCGACTATAGTTACGTGATATGTGTCCAATTTATGGCCAACACCCTCTGACCACCGATAGTATGTGCCTAACATGAATACAGGCCACATGTGTATCCGTGACTTATACATTATAACAACGTTTTCCACTAGTGATTGTCTAAATATTTCTATCCCATGGAATAATATCACCATCTTGGCTAGAAATAGGCCAAGAGTGACTTTTAAGTACACACAGATAGCAGTCTAAGTTTGTAACCACATGCATGTTTAATAAAGATGAAATCCACCAATACAATTAGGTAAAGCAGAAAACTTTTAAGGGTCGCATTAGAGCAACCTGTTAAAGTAAAGGATGGTGGCATTTACCTCCTTGAAGAGCCGTCTTGAGTCTTCCCTTAATTATTAATTACCGGATTAATGCATATTCCTATAGTTTTTCATTTGCAGCTGAAACATCATTGATTATTGATGTGTGGTATTCTTGTAGGATCACCATGTTCACTTAATTCTAGAGGTCGTGACGTTCTTCATTGAAAATCTTTTACTTGAACATGTCATGAACCCTGAAACACAGTATACAGTGATTGGCCACTTTACCTAACACATATATTTGATTAATATAATGCAGAAATTCAAGCTTGATTTGAAAAACAATGAATTAAGCTCGAAGGTACTCCCGGATTCTGCGTGCAGATAGATTTGATCACCCCTTCATCAAACTGGGAAGCATTTTTATGGCAGACCTGCATTTTTTTAGCAGCCTTCTTATAGATCTCAATTATTATCATATGATAGCTTATGTATCATTAATTTGCTTTCATTCAGCACTTAATTGAAGCTCATAATCGAGATTTAAAACCCTCGTGGTTTAGGTAATGACACATCCTCTCTATGATTGCAGCCTTGCAGGTTGCTGTTGTTGGATATTCATGTTTATGCATAAGATCTTCCAACTTTTGTTCTTCTTCAATCTGTCCAAAAAATGTGTTTTTTGGATCATAGAGCTTCATTCATTTTCATGATTTGAAAGACTTTTACCAATGATAGGATATTTAGAAAAATATTTTTACAACGGGACACACTCTCAACGAAGTTACGTCTTACGACTAAATATCGAATCTATCACAATTTATATGGTGTCGTGGGGCACAAAATTGACTTTGAAAGAATTGACAACAAACGGTGAAGTGAGACCACAAACAACATTATCTTCTTCAAACAGTATGGCATATATAGGATGGTTTTATCTTTCCAAATCTAACCATGAGAGAGAGTAGTACAACAGTGGGTCACAGATTTAGTCTGGTACTGGACAAAGCTGCCCATATACCAAAACGTTGATATCTATGAAAATATCTAGGGCCAAAGATCTTGTTATTGCTGCCTCCAATAAGAGTTTTCCAGTTATCATAAACAAACAATAAAAGAAAGCGATAGAGCAAGAAGGTGAATTGATACTTATCTCAAAATAGAAAGGGATACAAATCAAGAAACTGCCTCAAAAAAAAAATGTAATAATTTTTTTTTATATCTTGTTATATAACAATAATTAAACAATCCAACAGCTCATTTCATTAAGTTTTTCTTCCCGCTTAGCTATTTTTAACTCATGGAAGCTAGAAAATTAAAAAGAGTATACAAAGTTAATAAAGAGAAATTATATATTATCCCCTTAATTTAAAGTGCAAATATGTTTCTGTGCTGTGGGATTCGGTCTTGTTGTAGATGTACATCTTCTAAGACACTAAGCCGACTCTTAGTATTGCTGCTGCAACGATTTTGGCCGCGCCTGTAAGATGCTAGCATTTGCTTGGTAGAAGCCTCTAAGTCTCTCATTTCATCAATCACAATCTGTCTGTTCCTGCACTGTATGCTGCAAAATCCTAGATCACCTCTGCATTCACATATTCGATTCGCAAACTATATCAGAATCTATGCCAAGTCTCATCCCCGCAGTTTAGATTAGTTTAAAGTAGATTATCGCTTGTATAAACAAAACAAAAAAGTCTTATTCTGGCAAATAAAATCAAATATATATATTTTCTCAGAACAAAATTATGAAAAAACCAACAAAGATGAAGAATTAAGTTTTGGAAATTCATGCATATGTGTGGAGAGTCTAATTATTTTTACAAGTTTTACCTGTACATGTAGACCTCTTTCTCAAGGCTTAATCCCTTGTTGCATAAGTGACATGTTTTGAGAAAGCAAGAGAACTCAGGGGTGGGCTGGCTCAATCTTAATGAAGATTTCACAATGATATTTGACTTGTTCCCTTGTGAGATCTGTATAAGGATTTTCAATCCAACAGCCACTGAGCTCTGCTTATGGTCAACCAAATTGGAGGCCTTTCTGAACTTAGAGATCATTTTTGTTGAACCAGAGAGGAGAAGAGAAGAGATAAGAGAAGAAGAAAGAAGAAGAAACAGAAAACTTAAGAGGGTTGTGAAGTAAGGGCTGAGCATTAGATATTTAAAGGCAGCTTTGGTTCTCTGTCCACACACGCACACAGAAATAGATAAATAATATTTAAACAAAGATAGACAGAAGACTTTACTTCTGTTATTTTGATTTTGTTAAGCCACGTGCTGCAATTTGCTTGTTCTATGTCTTTACCATGTCTGCATTCTCCTGCAGGGTTAAACTTAAAACGAGTGAAAAACAGGAAAAGGGTTTTGAAGTTGAAGCCATTTTCCTAGCCTAGGCCTTTGGTTTTGTTTGGCCCTACCAGAAAATGAGCGAACCTTTTGTTTTTTGTCCAGCATGAGAAACGTGATAATTGTGAACTAAAATGTGTGGATCCTTTTTGTTAATTATTAATTTTGTTCCCTTTTCTTGTCCCCCCACTATGGAGAAGTTGATCCCACTAAGGAGTTGGCATTGAAGAACATTTACTTTTATATCCAATGTCCTGTAGCTAGGTTCGATTACCCTCTCCTCATATTTCAATATCGCTTATATATATAAAGATTAAGAACATTTACTCTTACATTTGAGGTTGATTCTTCTTTCAAAAATCTCCCAATATCGTTGTATAAAAAAAAATATATTGATTTTTCTTTTGGAAATTCCTAAAATAAACAATCGAAATTGTCAAAAATTCTTATTTGATTATATATACACAAACATTAGTATTGGCGTATAAGAAGGAACTCATCAAAGTGTTAGAAAAATTTTATAAAAAAATCACCAAGAAGAAAAGGAAAGCCTATTTCTTTTCACTCCCTAGGAATATATAATTAGGGTTGAAACAATGACATTGGATACTTAAAGATTAAACATTTTAAAACTAATGGTTCATGCTGCTGCACATGACCTATTAATGCTAGTGAAGAGTTGTACTTTTTTTTATGTTATTTTTGTTGTGATTATCTTGGCTATGCTCCCTTGTTTTTTTAATGGTTTATATTTCTGCTCTTATAAAATTTTGGATAGTTCTATTTGAATACACCTCAAAATTCACGAGATCCGTTTATTCTTTATTTATACCCATAATTTTCCCTACTAAATATCTTACTCACTTCTAATATGATGCCATGATTTGAACGTTCATTTTTAGATCCTCAAACCTCAATCAAAGATCCTTTTTGTAAAATTTCATTAAAATCGGAAATCGTCTAATCATTAAGTGACTAGTTAGCACCATACCGCCGTATGTATACAAGCTCCAATATGTGGCGCCCATATATATAAGACACTTTTTACCCCACATAGTTGCATTATGCAATGTAGAACCATCTACATTCGAAAACAACCACTATTAGTCTGGAATATCGAATTTAAAGCTATTGCTTATAGTCAACGGGTTCTATCCTAATGGAAAAGGACATTGACTTGTAGACAAAAAGTCTCAGGTTCGAATTGTTAAATAATACAACACAATCCCACATCAGATACTTAACAAAATATAAAGTCCCATATAATAAATAGCTCAACTCCTAACAAAATCGAGGCCTTTTGTATAAAACTCTACACCTTCTAAACATATGGTTAAGTTAGGGACAATATCAATGTTGCTAGTAGTGGGCCAATGGTCCGTCCCTTTGAAATCTTAACACGAACTCCCATAACATCATTTATGTGTGTAAAAAATCTCATTCCCCTCTAATTAAAATTATTTCAAATTCAATAGTGACAATTTCGGGACAAAACTCATGTGCTAAAGGAAAATCTTATAAGATACTTCCCAACCTTACTTTTTATTTTTGTTTGTTTGTTTATTTGTTTTTGTTTTTAAATACAAATGATAGTATAAAATATAAGGAGAGTGAGTTTCTCACACACACACACACAATTAAGGTGTCATTGGGTTCGAATATAAGACCACTAGTCTGTAAATCAAGACCATTTTTCTACCGAGCTAGATCTCGTTGACTATTTGTTTCCTTTTTTAGATTATAGAGAAAATGGTGTTCAAAGTGAAATATTCAGAAAAAAGTAGCAATATATATCATATTTTAAATTTCTATAAAAGGTCTCTCACGTGCATTGTCGCTCCATATATATATTTACTAATTCTAGTATATAAATATAATCAGCTCGAAAGTCACATGTCTCACATCGATCGTTGTAGGCTTATGGTAAATCAATTGTTTGTCTGGAAGAGAATATGGAAAATCAAATTGAAATTACTAGCCAACTTTGGCTCTAATGTTGTCCCAAACACTAGAAAACTTATATGCATAAATCCTACACATATTTAGTGCCTGTAATTATCCAATAATTTGTAAGTTCCTCCACTTCACATAGCTTTGCATCTCCCATAAAATAAAGAAGTTAATCAGAAGGGGAAAGAAGCCCATGTGTGTATAGATTCTAAATATCATGCATCAAGGTATATGTAGTGTAATGTATTTGCAAAGGTGCATTTCCTGTTTTATCAATATGTTAAGATTTTTTTTTTCTTCAATAAAAGCGATAGTCTAAATTAATATAATGTACGAGAAGAGAAATTTGAACTTGGATGTAAAAGGGAACTTCGATATGAAATCTTCTTAGAATTCTAATTTAGGGTTCTTATGATCCTTTTGGCGCATGAATTTAAGTGATGTTCCTTATAGAACACCAATACATTTCACTGTACATTCTTCATTTCTCAGTTTACAATTGGGTCCAAACACATAGACCATATCTCAATTTACAATTGCATATTACTTATCTTGAAATCTAAATAGTCCCAACAAAATCTGCCTCTTTTCCTAATTATATCTCCTAATCTTTAAAGCAGATTGTCCACCCAAAAAACAAAGTCATCGGCCACCGATTTCTTGATCAAATGGGATGTTTTATATTCATTAAAAGGTTTTTGTTTTGTTTTTTTTTTTTGTGAAAGGGAAGGGAGATTTTTCACTGACACTATCAAAGTGTCAAGGAATTCGAAACTGTGACCACTAATCTGTAAGTGAATATCCTTTTTTACTGAACTAGACCCCATTGGCATGCTCATTAAAAATTCAAAATCACTATTCATTAAAAATCCAGACCAACCATCTGGCCTGATTAACTTGTGCAAATTCCAAGCCGAAACAAGTTGAGGAAGGCCTCAGCATCATCACATCTTAAAAGTCGATAGTCCTCATTGATATTTTTGCAAGATAATTATCCTCTTCTTGTCTTTGTGCTGAAGTTGTTGTTGTTTGATGTTTTCAACTAGTAGTGGCCTGGCCTCAACAAGTTCGAATTTGTAATTATATTTACAGCATTAAGAAAAAGAAAAGACCTCCAAAATCTCAGACAAAACCACACCCTTCCATCTCCCACATACTTCAACCACAACCACGTATTAGCATCGTCATTTCTTTGAATTATATTTTCATCAGACACACACACACATATATATATATATATATATATATATATATATATATATATCATATGATTGTAAAAGAAGATGAGGATGCCCATTGCCCACGCATCTTCCATTTAATTTTTTTTTTTGGGCATCGCATTGAGAATCAATCGCTTTAATCAAATAATTATTGGGATTAGCCTGAAAAGGTTAAATTTTATAGCAAATTCATGTGACATATATATATATATATATATATATATATATATATATATATCATATGATTGTAAAAGAAGATGAGGATGCCCATTGCCCACGCATCTTCCATTTAATTTTTTTTTTTGGGCATCGCATTGAATTAATTAATTAATTAATTGTTTGTTTGTTCCAATTATGCCCCTAAAACATAAATAAGTTAAATTATGGATTTGTAAAACCGGTAAGTTATTGATTTGTAGGATATTAATTATCATATTTGATTTGAATTTAATTGAATTTTGAAAATTTCCCAAGGTATACCTACCTTAAAATTTGTAATAAGAGTTCATGGAAACTTCATACATTAACAATAGGTAAGGTACCTATGCATACACCTCTTGTGCATGTAATTAAACCCATAAATTAACTCTAGTCAAGGTAATTAAATCCATAAGTTACCTCTAGTATAGGTAGTTATACCCCCTAGCCCAGGTAATTGAACTCATATAGTACCTTGGTTATGGATCTTTAAACTCATATTGAGATAAAACTCCATACAAAATTGCTTTGGAAAACCACAAAAAAAAAACCTATTACCTAGAAGGCAGGTATGTATGTATATATATGAAACTCTAGAAAAAATTACTTAAGAAAACTCAAGAAAAGAAAATTTTTCCTATAAGGTAGGTACATATATATATATATATATAAGGGAAACACACACACACAACACACATAGAAACATCAAATTTTAGGAAAAGTGTTTTCATATAATTCCTTTTTATGATAATGACATATACTGTAAATTTTTTAAAAATTATAGACATACTAATTGATTACTTGGTGAGAATGGACTGCAATTGAAAAGAAAAAGCATGTGGACTACATTCATTACATCTTGATGACAATGGACCTATATCTAAGAAGCCCTAATTAAAACTCGAAAAAAAAATGGAGAAACATAAAACCTCACTCAGACTATAATCATCAATTAAGAAAGCGTCTCAAATAATGTTAAATCGTATTTATAACCATTTTGATATAATAATGAAAAATTCATAATGTTTGACATAATCAAAATGAAAATCATACCCCTTGAATTTCATCGTCATTCTTGTATGTTCAAGCTTGCTGATGAATGCATGTAATGTCATCCTAAGACTAATACGTGTCATGCAAGAAAGAAAGCATTAGAATTTAGCTGTATGAAATGAATCTGCCAGCTCAATGCCACCCAATTAAAGGAATAATTAAGGTAAAATATTCGACGCAAGTCCTTGGCCCCCAATTAAAGGAATAATTAAGGTAAAATATTCGACACAAGTCCTTGGCCCCCAATTGAATGAAGGAGTGGGAGTGATTCCAGTACTTTTTGGTCCAACTCAACTTCTCATGGTGTAATATTGTGCTAATTAAAAGTAGCATTACACATGTAGGAATATGATAAAATTATAAATATTTATTCCATGACAATAACACATATGA